GGCTCTCCCACAGGCTAGCTGTGACAGAAAAGTGCAATGGAGTGTGAGGGAGAAGAGTCTGGAACAGCCGTGGGCAAACTACGGCCAGCAGGCCGGATCCGCCCGTTTGAAATGAATAAAACAAACAAAAAAAAAAGACCGTACCCTTTTATGTAATGATGTTTACTTTGAATTTATATTAGTTCACACAAACACTCCATCCATGCTTTTGTTCCGGCCCTCCGGTCCAGTTTAAGAACCCATTGTGGCCCTCGAGTCAAAAAGTTTGCCCACCCCTGGTCTGGAACCTGGTGTGGGAGAGGCAATGGGGAAGGTTTGGTATGAGGCTTAATACATAAATAACAATGAGGTTACAGTAAAAATTCCCTCTTGAAAATGCTTAACTTGCCCACAAAGACACACGGGTGTCTTAGATTAGGTCCCATAAGTAGAGTCTGGGACAGGGAATTGTGTGCAAGTGATTAATGAAGGACGTGTTCTCAGGAGAAACCTGTAGGGAGAGAAGCAAAGGGAAGAGGCCAAGCTCGGATGTGGTTTCAGGGGAGGCCTAGCCTCAGTGCAACCCCATGGGGAGCTGTGGAGGGTGAATGGCACTGGTGGTGAACCACCACACCAACCAGTCACTGCTGTGGGCTGGGCTGGGTGTCAGGCCCAGGCACCTCCAGGCTAGGAGGCTCCAATTGCCCAAGGTGTGAGCCATTAACAAAGGCTCCTAAAACTGCTAGGGATGGACAAACCTAGTCAAACCCCTAAAACAGATCCCAGGAGATCTGGCTGGGGCTCCAACTGCATAGTAAACCATCATGAATAATGGGCGTCGAGTACCTGGTACAGGATGATCAGCACCCACAGCATGGGCACCTTGCAATTACCCACACATGTAGTTTTGCCCACTCAACTGCAGGAAAATTGAGGACAGCTCCCTGGTCTTGATTCCTGTAAGCAGAATGGGGTCCTTCCTCCAAGGGCCTTGGGCAGACATAGGATACCGCCCAGAAAATATTCCTCTACTTGTCTATCTCCCCCACTAGGTGGGGGCTCTTGAGGGAGAAACCATACATTATTCCTGTCTGTGCTCCCAGCTCCCAGTACCCAGCGCAGGGTCTACTAAAGGAGTGAATGAATGCAGGAACAAATATATCTCTGACAGGTTTAAAACCCAAGTGTGTGTGTGTGTGTGTGTAGATACGTGCACATGGGCATGGTCACGCAGATATACGTCACTGGAGCCCCAAGCAATTCTCAAGGTTGCTATTTGAGAATCACCTGGGCTGCTTGTTAGTCATGTGAATTCTTTGGCCTTACTGCAAAGCACTGTATCATGAGTTCTGGGGCAGGGCTGGGAAATCCGAATTTTCAATGAAATGTTCTGGGAGAGTCTCATGTATACAGAAGTTAGGAATCACTGCCTTAAACTCTGCTGAGGGGGATGCTCAGAATTCTCTGGGCTTTTGAGACCTAAAAAGCAAACCATAAAGAGGTTATAAACAGGGCTGAAAATCAGAACCGTGTCCTTAGGGGATCCGAGGTGGGCAGGATCCCTAGGCCATCGGTGTGCAGGTGTGGACACAGAATCCCATTTCTGGGTGTCCCCTGAGAAGAGTAACTGGGAAGAGAGTTTCTTAAGAACATAAGACAGAGCTGGGTTCCAAGCTCAGCCAGATTCCCAGTCTGGGCTGCATGGCAAAAGTCTCTTCTTCATGCCAACCAGGAGTCACAGGCCCAGCTCCCAGCCGAGAGTGTGCATACTGAATCAATTGAAATTGAGTCACAGATATAATTAATGTGTTTAAACGATTTTCTGTATAGTAAACATGCTGAATGAGGGTGACCCAGGATAAAGTGTCTGCACGAGAGTGGAAAAATGGATTCTGTGTGTGCTGTATAATGAAAACCCTTCAGCAAATAGGAAATGCTTCCATTTATTTCCACCTCCCGTTCCTTTCCTTTCTTTCTTTATGACTGAACTTGGCCTTCTGTGGTCTCCTTGGACCACAGAGATACTTTTTATTTTGTCAGAAGACATCCTTTTTTTCTCTGAATGGAAGACAATTTTAATGAAACCTGTCTATAGCCCACTGACAAGCACATTTTAACATGTGACAAAGGGAGTAAGGGGAAGAGTATGGGGTGGGGGTGGGGGAGTGGAGAATTGTCTCTCTACTGCAATCTCTTTCTCAACAAAGGGAGACTTGCACTAAGAGGAGGAGATGGTGCTGTGTGTGGTGGGGACAGGACCAATCGGAGCTACCCGGCTTTGCTGAATCAGTCTTCCTGTGTGACTTTGAAAGCTCCCTGTCTATATTCAGATATTCATCTACAATACAAGGCAGTTGAATGTGAGGATCTATAAGACCTCTTTCAGTTCTGACATTCGCTGAATTATGAGTCACAAGTCGGAGCAGACATAAATGTGTGTCAAGGAATTTCCCATTAAAAAGAAACTCATCTTCAAGCCATGTAAGGCGATTCAGGCAGTCTTATCTAATTGCTCATCAAGTAGGGATTATGAATTATTTGGCTTAGATGAAAGGGAGCACTTAGAAGTAGTTATAAATGATCTCCAACTAAGATGCCTCAGGCAAAATGCTGAGTTCTAGGATCATGAGAGACAGCAAAATGCTTCCTAGATTCTGTAGCTCTCTATCCAGCCATTTCAACTTGGGGTACTATGAATTCATTCTATTAAGTAAGAAGCACCGTGTGAAAAGATGGCCTGAATAAGAGCACCAGTATTTTGAGAGGGTGCTGCACGTTGTTACTGGTGGGCCCCTGGGGGAACCTCGTCCCTCTCTAAGCCTCACTCTGGGTTTGTACCGTCAGAGAAAGGCCCTCGGAGGTCTTTGGTGCTCTGTGCGGCCTTCCGGAGGGGCCTCTGGGCTGTTGGGTGGGATGAGGTGGGGACTGTGGGAAGAGGGGTGAACAGGCAGGGCTCCTCCTCTGTTCAACTGAGAAGCTCCTTTCATCTGTATAATATACCAGGTATCAAGTGAGATTTTATAACAAGAGGTTCTGAGAATTAAAAAAAACATTTTAAAACTACTCTTCTGAGGAAAGCTGTTAAACCTTCCAGTCTGAATGTAGGCTGTGCTATAAACACCCTTTTTGCTGGTTCTCGAGCTCCAGTGTGCATTAGAATCACCTAGAGCAGTGGTCGGCAAACTGCGGCTCGCGAGCCACATGCGGCTCTTTGGCCCCTTGAGTGTGGCTCTTCCACAAAATACCACATGTGGGCACGCACGTACAGTGCGATTGAAACTTCGTGGCCCATGCGCAGAAGTCGGTATTTTGTGAAAGAGCCACACTCAAGGGGCCAAAGAGCCGCAGTTTGCCGACCACTGGGCCTAGAGGATTTGTTAACCACAGCCACTGGGCCCCTGCCCTAGAGATTCTGATTCCGTGGGTCTGGGAGGGGCTGGAGAGTTACATGTTTAACCAGCTCCCGGGCACGGTGCTGCTGGCCGGGTGCACTCGAAGAATCTTTGACCTTTAAGAGAAAGGCCAGTCTCCTTAGCTTGTTCCTTCAGAAATGGGCTCCAACATACCTTCCCAACCTGTCACCCTCCTCTCTAACACTCCCTGCACACACGCATGTGCTGCTCTCTTGCTCATCTCGCTGCACTTGGCCCGACTGCCAGGCCCTCTGGGCACGCCTGAGGCCCAGCTCACATGCCGCCTCTTCCCAAAGGCCTTCCCTGATTGTTTCACCAAAGATCACAGAAACCCTCTGGGCTTACACAGTCCTCCCGCTGCTGAGCGCTGCTTGTCGTTTGTGTTCAGGTCCGCCCCCTGCATCTGGACTACAGGCTCCAGGACACGGAGCCCGTCCTACCCACCTTGGTGTCCACACCACAGTCTACACCCCAGCACCTGCACAGGCGCTCCAGGCCGGGCCCACAGACCACAGTGCAAGCCCGAGTGCATGCACAAAGGAATACGAACATTTAAGAAACGCAACAACCAACTCATCTGCTCCTCTTACTAGCCCAAGACAGACTGATTCTGTAAATGACTTTTTAAAACTCAAGACAGCACTTTAGCCATTTCAACTTATTCTTTAGAAAAGTTTTTCATATTTTCTGGGAGTAGAGTCAATGACAAATACATCAGGATGAGACAGAAATAACTACCACTTAGGTCCATGATGAGAAGGTGTGTAATACAACAATTAAGAGCTAGACCCAATTCAAATTCTAGCTCTACCTCTGATTAGATTTAGTACTTAAATGCTCTGAGCTCCAGGCTCCTCCCTTCTAGTGGGGATAATAACAGTCCTACTTCCTATGATGACATAGGGATGCAATGAGACCATTATTAACAATAACAATTGCTAGCATTCCCTATGCTTCTGCTACCCACCCTACCCCTCTGCCTACTATGTGCCTAGCATTGAGCCTATATTATTGAGTCTAATCTACATAAAGTGCTTATTAGCATAGTATCTAGCACATAATAAGCATCTAAGAAATATTAGCCATTATTATCATTGCTAATTTCCCCAACTTCTGTGCAAGACATATATCATTATCTCCATTTCCCAGATGAAGAACTTGAAGCTCAGAGCAAGTTGCTTGCTCAACAAATATTAGCAGTTTTTACTCTGTAATGGCTAATCTTTATAGCTACCTAACAGGGTAGTTATTATTTCCATTCTGAGAATGAAAAATATGTGTTTAAAGACAGTAACTTGAAAGTGAAGGTCCAAGATTTGAATCTAACTGAGCTTCTGCTACCCACCCTACCCCGCTGCGTGGAGAATTCCACCTGAACTGCGTGCAGCTTTTCTAATTCATGAGTTACAGAGAAGCATTTTCCCAACGTGTCAGAGAGTGTCACGGCACCTCCCATTTCAGCAGCCCTGAAATCCTACGACCCACAGGAAGCTATGTCAGCAATCTGAGAGAATGGATCCAGTGTCAGAGGGTGTCTGGCACAGCTCTTCTGGCCTTGCATGTATCCAAAGGGCACTAAGAAAGCAGAGCCCGGGGCCCAGGACTGACCGTGACCCCAAAGAAGTTGGTCTCATTCATGGCGTTGAGGATGATTCTGCCCAGCGTGTGGTCTGTGTAGTTGAAGTCCTGGATCCGCTGGTGCCGGCTGCTGGCGTGCAGTGTCTCCATGGCCCGCTGCAGCGTTTTGGCGATGACCCAGATGCCATCGTAGGCATACCCGTGGAACTTGCTGGGCCCCACGCCTGACCGCTTGTTGTTGTACTCTCTCTCGTACTGCTGTGGCGTCTGGAAAACAAAGGGTTGGGGGACACCAAGTTACAACTGCAGGGACCTCAGGCACACAATGCCGAGAGCTGAGACTCTCAAACGCCGAGCCTCTTTATACGCATTATCTCATTGAATCCTCACAAAACCCTCATATGATAGGTACTATTATCACCCCCATTTTACAGGCAAGGAAAATGATTCAGGGAAGTGGACTTGCCTCGTACCATAGAGCTGGTGAGTGGCAGGGCTGAGATTTCAACCCTGGTATCTAGCAAGGTTAACGGGAAGGAATCATGAACTGTAAGCAGGGCTCCCCCATGACATTTGCAGGGTCTGGGGCAAGAGAACCAGTGGAGGTCCACATACTTATGTCTAAATATGTAAATTAGAGACAGACCATCAGACTATTCAATAAAATCTTTTCTGTCTCCCCATCATAATAAATATGCCTTTAATGATGTCAAGGCCACATCTGAATTCAGAACTCTAGGGCTCCTCAGAGCTTCAGGCTGGACACGGCAGCATGGGGATGCTGGCCTTGCCCTGTAGTCCACCTCGGCAGCCCAGCCAAGCTCGGGCCACACCTCTTCCCCCTTCCAGCATCAGTAGCCCCTAGACCAGTGATGGCAAACCTATGAACTCATTTTTTTTGGTTGATTTTTCTTTGTTAAATGGCATTTAAATATATAAAATAAATATCAAAAATATAAATCTTTGTTTTACTATGGTTGCAAATATCAAAAAATTTCTATATGTGACACGGCACCAGAGTTAAGTTAGAGTTTTTCAAAATGCTGACACGCCGAGCTCAAAAGGTTCGCCATCACTGCCCTAGACCACCAAAGAACTGTGGTTCACCCTCAAGAGGTTTGATCCAGGCAAGAGGTTCCCTAGGCACCAGAAGCAGTTCTAGCCATTTAGGCAGGGAATTCGGGGCGTGGTCTAGGAGAGAGGGAGGGACAGGTGATGGCTGGGCATACCCCGGTGGCCTTGTGGATTCTGAGCTCCATGGGGCCTGAGTGAGGCCCTGTTAGAGCATGTGGTATAGGGCAGGTCCCAGGTACATAGGACCCTTCCTCCTTCCTTTTCTACAGCATAGCAGGGTCTGTTAATAACTTGGCATTAAAAAAAAAAAGTTCTTTTGTCCCATTGAACTAAATTTCATAAAAAAAACTCATTGGTAATATTAATATTCTGACTGTGGTCACAAAGTACTGAAAGTGCCTTTTTACTTGGGTCCAGTGAATGCCGCCCCAGGGAACCTGTTACCCTCAGTCTCTCCATGGTCTTTTCTCAAGTCACTTCTGAACCCCTCTTCCAGAAATGTCACCAGAGCCCATGGCTTAGCCTTTGAAAAAACCCTCCTTGGGGACAAGCCACATGTAGAAACCATCAATTCACTGTCAGTTTGTACTAGGAAGGGCCCTTAGATGTGTTCATACATGCCCCACCCCTGTACCCCGAGGCACAGAGAGGTCCAGAAACTTGCCCAAGGTCACACAGCTTGTGTTGTGTGTGAGCATGTGCACACGCATGTGTGTATCTAGACTGGTCCAATTTCATCTCTGTTACTTCTCTTATTTTTGACTTTTGAGGGCATAATTGCTTTTGGAAAACCACCTCAACTGGTTTGGGGCCCGGTCTAGTGCATAGGAGGTGGGTGAAGCTGAGCCATCCAAGTCTGGGTTGTCCCATGGCTGGAGCCCCAGTCTCTTGCCCTTGGCTCAAGGCACTAGCAGGGTAGGATCACCCCCACGGATGCCTGGGGATGGCCAAGACCCTCACACTGTGAACCCTGCAGGTGAGGAATTCTGCTGGACCAAATGTGAATGTTGGTGTTCCAGCAACAGATCCACCTCCTTTTTGTTTTGGCTCCTGTTGGATGACTCAGGTTTTCCTCTGGAATGCATCATGTCCTGCATCACATTCTGTTCATCACTCAAAATATACAGCAGAAGCTCTCTTCAAACCAAGGGCTCCTCAAGGAGACAGCACCTTTTCCAGCCCAGCTCAGCCTCTTCTCACTATTAATCATCCCCCACCTGCTGCACATCCCTGTGGGCTGGCTTTCTGCAATCATCCTTCACCATCTCGCTCCTCCTGGGGGAGCATGAACTGGTCCATTAGGAGGTTCTCTCCCTTCTTAAACCTTTTGGGTCCTTTGATCACATCAAGTTTGTCTGCACCTCAGGGCGTCTGCTCTAGCTGTTTTCTCTCCCGGAAAGCTTCTTCCGAAGGTCTTTGCAATATCAACACTTGTCACTTCTCAGGGACAGCTTTCCTGACCCACCCAGGCATTCTCTATCCACTAGTTTTATCTTCTTCATCATTTTTGTTGTTTTGTTTTGTTAATCCTTACCCGAGGATATTTTTCCATTGATTTTTAGAGAGAGAGTGGAAGAGAGGGGGAGAGACAGAAAGAGAGAAACATCAATATGAGAGAGACACATCAACTGGTTGCCTCCCTCACATGCCCCAACCAGGCTGGGGATCAAACCTGCAATTGAGGTACATGCCCTTGACTGGGAATCAAACCCGGGACCCTTCAGTCCCCAGGCCGATGATCTAACTATCCGCTGAACCAAACTGGCTAGGGCTTGTTTATCCTCTTTACTGCACCTTTCACGTCCTGCGATTTTCCTACTTACGTGTTTTCTTGCTTACTGTCGTTCCAACCACCCTCCCACAACTAGAATTAAACTCCATAGGGTCAGGGATGCTGTCTTGATCACTAAGGTATCACCAGAACCCAAAACAATACATACAGAGACCCTTTCCAAGTCTCATTCTCCATTTCAAAAATGAGGAGGTTGGACCAAGTGATCTAGAAGTTTCCTCTCAGGAATAGAGGCAAGAGCCTGGCAGTGTGATAAGGACACAGGATGTGGAAGCAGAGCCCCAGCTCTGTGGTTTGCTGATTGTGACCTGGGGTGGTCCCAGCTCCCCCAGGTCTGCTTGTCCACCCTTGTAGGGTGGCCAATGAGGGTTCAGTGAGATGAAGTATGCAACGCATCCAGTCCAGTGTCCAGGATATGGTAGGTGCCCAGAAATACCAGCCCCTGCTACTAAGAGGAAAGGTCCATGACATGAGCATGGGTTCTTAAACCTGGCATCCTGCTCAACTACCTGCCCAACATGCCCTGCAGACCCCAAGATGGTGCTGGAGCCCAGGCTGAGAGGGGTCAGCAGTCCTCCAGGGTGTGGACAGCCTATCTGTACTTCCTTAACAATTTCCAATTATTGCACATTTAGGCAAAAGCATCCTTGTATCTAAATTTCCTAAACACACACTGGTAATTTTTTTTCCAGAATTCCTAAAGGTATAATTGCTGAGGCAAAACATAAACACTACTGACATATAAATATATAAATAGGGCTAAGTTATTCTCCTCAAATATGAAAAGTTAAAATTCCACCATGTTGCCCTGACCAGTTTGGTTCAGTGGAGAGAGCGTCACCTGTGGACTCAAGGGTCCCAGGTTCGATTCCAGTCAAGGGCATGTACCTTGGTTGCGGGCACATCCCCAGTAGGGAGTGTGCAGGAGGCAGCTGATCGATGTTTCTCTCTCATCGATGTTTCTAACTCTCTATCCCTCTCCCTTCCTCTCTGTAAAAAGTCAATAAAATATACTTAAAAAATAAAATAAAATTCCACCGTGTATGAAAGCATCCATTTCCCTGTATCTTTGACAACAGATATGTTCATTTTAAAAGTCATTATCCGTTGGTTAGGTTAAGACAAAAGTCTATCTCCTTTCAATTTTAACTTGCATTTCTCTGATTAACAATTAGAGCAAGTTCCTTTCAAATATTGATAGGCAATTTTTAGTTATTAGGTGCATTTCCTTTTAATACCATATTGCTGTGTGGTAGTCACATCTTTAATGTTTTGTTTTAATGCATCCTTGTTATTTTTCCATCTTTTACTATTTGGCTATATTTTTCTTTGATGTTTAAATGCAATATGGGTTGGTTTCTGGTTAATTTAGCTATTGGCTACTTTAAAAGTATTAAAATGATTTGAATGCGTATTTCTTCAATTAATTGCTTTAGGTATAAAACCAATGAGGTCCCTTTTACGTTTCTCCTCCTGGATTTTGCTCCTGTGAGCTTTTCCTGATGCACACAGAGGCATCTGAGGGCTGCTGTCTTTGAGTCCTGTTTGTTCAATCTAATGATTGCTTTCAGATGACGTCTCCAGATCTCTTTCCTATCCAGAACATGCCACTGGGACATCGTTCCAAGGTTTTTGTGACCCTCTGGAAGTCGGGAGTCCAGACCTGAGTGTGGTCTCACCAGGAGGTAAATGAGTGCCATTTTTAAACTTTCTTGATATAGTTTACTGGGGTTATTTTTTTGTGGGGATACTGGGGTGATCAAGATCATGTTATTTATTCAATTTGACCTTGGGGCCCACACAAGTTTCTATAGATTCTTTTACATGTGTACTTATAAACCGGTATCTTTTCTATCTCAAAAACTGTTCTTCATTCCAGGGACAAGGGCAGAAGGAGAGTGGAAAATACTGGAAATATGACTGTTTACCTCATTTCTGTGGGCAGAGTCCTTGGAATGGGACACAGGTGTAGCTAAACCCTGAAAGATGACCTCATTCTCACTGTCTTTGCAAGCACCAAGATGAAGTTTTTGCTACCACCTTGTATCTCAAGCTATTCATCACTTCCCAGGTGAAGCCAGTATCAATTTCCCTTGGGCAAAACAATGACAACAGGAAGAAACAGTTGTTGGGATAAAAAGTAATAGTCGCTCTTAAAGCAGGCCTCCAATTACTCAGGGCAGAAGAACTTCCATTGTAAAGCCGACACTGAAAGCTGATTAATTACTCATTATCTGAGGTCAAGTGTATGAGATGCTAAAAGCTCTGAGAAAATAATTTTATATATAGGTTTTCCCAATTACTGACAGGTTGTGCTCCAGCATATTTTTGAAAGGCAGTTGTTGGAACTTGGACATAGTTTCCCACAGAAACTATGTTATAAATAGTGGTTAGGTTCCCA